AACAATTGTATAATTTTAAAACATTATATATATATATATATATATATTCTAAAATTACTAATTTTTTAACGAAAAAGACTAAAATTGCACAATTATAATAGTTGAGGGACTAAAATTGTTCAATTAAAAATAAAAGGACTAAAATCACACAATTACAATATTTTAAGGACTAAAATTACTCGATTAAAACTTTGAGGATCAAAGAAGAATCAAAAACACAATTAAATCAAAAATTTATAAATATTTTAAGTTTTTTTTTATAAAAAAAATAAAGGAAGTGTACTTATAAAAAAAAAAGTGTATATATCATTAGCGATACTAGAACCCAATAAGCCCAATACTCGTATCGGCCCATTAAAAACCTAAAGTCCAGTGAAGGTCGAAGAGGAGTAACTATGGAGATTCAATCAACGAACGGAAAAGGGTAATTCTGTTTTACTAAAAAAAAATTATAGGATTGATAGAGAAATTTTTCTCTGTTACACCGAAGCGTAGCCAGTTTATGAATCAAAACATATACCTAATAGGTTTAGTTTGATTCGCCAGTTTCAGAACATTTACTAACATAAAAAATAAATTGGTTTATAGCTAAAGTTCTGAATTTTCGAATTCAATTTTCTCTTTGCCGTTTCAATCTGTTGGTACGTATATTAAATAGTTGTTTTATGTATTGATTGTGATAGGTTGGAATGCCGAGTACACCCTTCCTTAATTTTGCTCATAAAAATAAGTTACATCTCAATTCACATACCTATCAATGCTATTGTCTATTTATTTTTGGTATGTACTTGTTTGCAATCCATAGTAAACACAATATGCCCAAGCTACTAACAAGCTATACGTAATGTTTTGATGTGGCAATAATAGTTGTCATGTATATTTACTTAAATTATCAATTCATGTGAGTTATCTGTCTATCTATTTGTTTGTATAGGAAAGTTAATTCGGTGAGAAATACATATAAGACTAAAAAATATTTTTCATATACTAACATATATATAATTTATAATGATATAATATTTATTATTATAAATTATTTTTACTTATATTATAAATATAATTTATGTTGATATGTTATTAAAAAATATAAGTATAGATTATAGTAACACACAAAATATATTATTAAATTTTATTTAAAATCAATACTAAAATTATATATGACTAAATGTCTAGTGTCAAGTATTATATATATATGTATATATATATTATCTATAATGACTTTTTTTATGTTACTATATATAATATTTTTTATAATGAGAATAATGAATCTCAAGTATGTAATTAAAAAAATAATAATACGTTAATTAAAACTAATTAAAAAATGTATAGTTAATATTTATTTTTCATAATTTTAAAAATTGAACTTCGATTGGTTTGACAAAAAAACTAGTCTAATAACTAGCTTGTTAACTCCAAAATAAATTAACTCATAACAAAATTGTAGAATCGGTCAAAATTATTCCAAACCGGTTTAAATTGATTTAAAAAAAAAAAAGTCATTTTTAGTTATTAATTTAATCTAAAATAATTTCATGATAAATAAAAATACATATTTAAAGATATTAAACATAGATATACATTATTTTGTCAATTAATATTAATTTTATTTTATAAAACAAATAATTTATCTATTTATATTAATTTATAATTTTTATATCTTAATATATATATATATATATATATATATATAT